TGCCCAGTCCAGAGGTAGAGGGGGGTGCTAAAAATAACCCAGGTAGAGTTGGGGAGGGTAGGAATAGCACAACCCCGGGCTGGGGCAAGTGGCTGGGTTTTCTTAGGCGTGGAGCTGTGCTGCGAATGTGTATAGGCATTTACTAGACCAGGTCAACCCATTTTTAGATTGGGTAAACCCAGGTTGATCTAAACTTAGTTCATCTCCTCAGGTGAACTAACTTTAGATTGGGCACATGCTTTTGAGGGTGCTTTAAACCCCATGAACACCCCTGCATGCCTGGGCATTTAGATTGACCTAACCAAATTTAGATCAATCTAACTGTAAAGCTTGTATGTACCCATAGGCTGTATTTGTACAACTTGTGAGAGAGCAGAAAGACAACTAGTGCTTGTCTTATTTAATGTATGAATTTTCTCCAGTGTCTAATGCAGCTTCCCCTGCCTCACTGGGCATCTACACATGCAATTAATGCACCTGAATTTTCTATGAAGAAAATTCAGGCTCATTTAAGCACTCCCAGGCACACGTCTACTCATGTAGCAGTTTGTGTGTCCCTGTTGGGAGCAAATTTGCTCTCAATGGGTGCAGTTCAGTCCAGAGCTGCTCCTGCCCCCCTGCCCTGATCCACCCCCCCTGCAGCAGCCAGAGGGAGCCCCAGGATCCTCCGGGTTCCAGCCCCAACCTGGCGGCAGCTGTCCAGTTGTGGGAAACAGCTCCAAGCCATGTGGTGTGTGGGATTGCAGCGTGGCTCAGCAGCACGAGCTTGAGGTAATGGCCCATGCCCAAGCATGGGGGTAAGCAGTGCCAGGAATGGGGAGGAGCCATGGGGAGAGGGAAGCAGCTCCAGGACCAGGGGAGATGCACAGAGAAGCAGCACCAGTCCTTAGCACTGCTTCCCCCTTGTGTCTCCTTTCCCAGGTCCCAGCATCTCCCCCCTGGTCCCAGCACTGCTCAGCTCCTGGCTCCCCCCAGGTACAGGCAGAGAGCAGGAACTGGCTAGACCATGTGCTGCATGGGCAGTGGCAGGGTTATGGGGATGGGGGAGCTCTTTGAGAAAGATGAGGAAAGAGAAGCTGAGAAAGTTGATCTTTATTTGGATTTCTTAACCTGTAGGAACGAGGGAAGCTATCTTACTGGACAGAGAACTGAATTTATGTACTCTAGAGGGCAATCCAGATCTAGCAGAAGGATGGACTGCAAAAATCCTTAAAGGCCTTTCCTATCCCTAAGTTCGGCAGCTGTATGTGAACACTACAGAGTCACTGAAGACTCTTATTCAATAACATGTTGGTTGATTTTCAGTGTGACCAAACTAAAACAAGTACCGTGACAACAGCTCACACCCCTCCTACTCAGACACTCTGTGACAGTCCAATATACAGGCCTTTTGTACTACTCACCAGTTTTGTAATAACCTTAGGTGTTAGGCTGTTTGACAGAAACTTATTTTGGCCTGACCTATGCAATTTGTGCAAGTGATCCTCAGGGGACTACACAGTTTGAATTTTGCTTATATGTTCCAGAGCCAAAAATGTTTCTGAAATTGATTTAATGAGTCTGGGAATATGGGACTAAAGCAAAGGGAATTATTTGTATTTATTAAAATGGCAAATAAGCTACCTTGCTGTCCCCAGTCTCACCTTTTATGTTGCTTGGCTTTGTGGGTCTGCATATGCTTTACATGTTGTGACTTTTTTAAATTTAAACCCCCCTCCCCAGTATTTTCAGGTTGTTTTCCCTGCTAAAGCTCCTGCTAACTCCTTCCTGAGTGAGAGCTCTCCCAGCTCTACAGTGCCATCATACAGATTTGTTGCTTTAGGGCTACTCCCCAAAAGCCTCCACTCTTCTTCTCAGTCATACAGGTTCTACATAATGAAGACAGATCAGACTCATTTCTATATTAGGAAAGCTTGACATTGGCCAGATACTACTATTCTTTCCACACTGAAAACAAGTCAGGATTAAAACATACACACAACTCACTGAGAACTACGGAGAACCCTTAAGATTGAAATTGCCTGAAATACTGAATTTGTCTGGTATTGGCACCATGATCTTTCTGGTTGCCAGTTTATAGCTTCCAGAATCAAATATAATCAATGAAACAAAAATTATGCTTCTTTTTATGATGCAAGTGCCCTTTGTGCTCCACTCCCCTCTTCTCTTCATGCTTCTGATAAAATGCTGAAGATGATGAAGAACCTGATGGCTTGTCAATCAGTACTGCTGGCTCAAGGGTTTTAGGCCCTTAGTATATAAATAAATAAGTTTGCTGGACAAAAAGCCTAGAACCACGGAACTGCTCTATGCTGCGTGTATATATAGGTGCAATTAATTCAAAGCAATAAACTCTGGAGCAGTTTGAGCCAGAGTAAACTACTTCTGGGCACAGCATCTACACATGCACCCAGGACAGCAGCAATTTGAGCTGGGGTGGAGCAGTTTACACCAGGGCTGGGAGCATGGTGGGTCAGCCCTGGGCTCCAGGTGGAGGCAGAGGGCAGCGGAGAGGCTGGCTGGGGCACAAAGGGTGCTGAAAGTGTGGAGCTGTGTGGCTAGGCAGCTGGCAGGAGGCTAGCCCCCTGCTGGCTGGGGACTGGGTGGAATTTATTGCATTTAAATTGCAGTTAATTACCCAGCTGTAAGATATCTTATGATAGTTTTAATTAATTTACTGTGGCCTAATAGCATCTCATGTGTAGATGGTGACACTTTACTCCTAAGCTAATTAGTCTACTTTGCAGGTAAGTGCACATGTAGATGTGGCCACTGAGAACAAAATTCAGCTTCATTTTCAGAGATGGTCACAGCTCTATTTGACTTCACGGTAACATGCAGCCCCTAATGATTCTGAAAATTCCAGCTATAGAGAACCAACCAGAGATGCATTATTACCTGAAAGGGGCTCATCCTGCTCCAACTAAAGCCAGTGGAAAACCTCCACTGGTTTTAATATGACCAAGATCAGGATTTAGAAATACTGGTTAAAGAGGACTTTTAGATCAGTGGTTCTCAACCTTTGTAGACTCAAGGCAATCCTCATTAAATTCCAAAACATTTGAATGGAGCGTCACCCCATTTCAAAAACGAATTTATTACACCATTTACCTTTTTGCAGCAGGGGTAGGCAATGGGGGCATAGGAGCAGCCAGGCAGGGAAAGCCTGCTTTTATCTGCTTATCTCATAATACTTCATTTATCTCCTCATGCTTCCTGCATTACCCTTCAAAAGATCTTGTGGCAACCCTCCCTGCTCCCACCCCCTTCCTGGTTGAGAATCACTGCTTTAAATGGTGAATGAAGTGTCCCCAATATATGGATCAACAAACATCTGTCTGTCTGATACAAAATAAACTGCTTGCTATGCTGAAAATCCCACCTGGACCATTTTTCTGTGTTGGCCAGTAACCACATGCATGTTTTGTTGACTTCAGACTGAAACATCCTAAACAATCTAAAGTATCTAGAGTGCTACCATTGTGCTTCAGCATTTGAACATGCAGCAGGAACTACAAAGATAAAATTGCCAGATACAGGAAGAAGGGAAATAGTTTTACACC